AATAAATTAATTTCTAAACATTACTTAGAGTTGGAAATCTTGCAACAAATGACATTCTTGTAATGTCATAAAATTTCTCTTTGTAATATTCTTGCCTCTAATTCATGAATTCATGATGGATTTCCCTAGAACCATTAAACTTAAAATGGATGAAGTCTTGAATTATGGACTTGTGATCTTGACTCATGCTTTGCAAATTTGGACTCCACTTGATCAAGAATTTGAAACAAAGTTGGATGAAGCAATCTTGAATTAGGCCTTGCATTTCATGTTCATTAGGAATATTTATCTTGAATATCCTAATATTTTTCAAGTAACTTCTTCTTGAAGTAATCTATATGAGTATACTTTCCAACTTAGATCAAGCATTAGGTGATGAACCTTTTCTTCCATGCATTCCATGATAGGAAATTTATCTCATTTGAAATGGAAAATAACAAATCGACCCAATCTATACCTTATGAACCCACATGCTCGATATGCAATGGAATATTGTGATATGAAGAATGCAAAGTATGAAAGGCTATAGGTGAAAATGAGGGTGTGACACAATATTGTATTTGTAAAAATATTATAATGCTTTAAATCAATACAACATTGTGTATTATCGGGTACGAATACTTACATAAGACACGATGTTGCTTGGTGTTCCTCTATGCGTTTCGCCCAATGTTAACATAGGCATTTCTCCTATAATTTTAATATATGAAGAAGAAATTGGTAGAATTTAAATTGTGGAATATATTTGATGAGTTTTTGTGAATGAGGAGGAGAAGTATTTATAGTAAAAATTTTGAATTTGAAATTTGAATTTATGGTGGTAGAGGTAAAAATTTAATTTGTGTAGTTGAAATATTAATTGTTGTAAAGAGGAGTAAATGTATATGGATGAAGTGTGTAGAAAATATATTACACTTGGCATTCTGCATGCATGCAAATCACATTTTTCGTACACTTGTCACGGGGGAGCCAACCCCCATGGCGCCCCCCTTAAAAATTAAGGAAGGGGAGCCAACCCCTATGGCGCCCCCTTTGACGAATTTTAATATATTAAATTCATACACTTTTGTTATTTATTGATACATTCATGAAAAATTAAATACATCTCACCATTTACAAACACATCTCTTACACTCTTACACTTTTCTTCAAATATGTCTAGAACAACAAATTATATTGTTCATGCCCATTCTAATGGAGAAACTTATATCTCTGAGGAATCGGGTTTTGGGTTTCAAAATACAGATGTTACCCGATTAACAATGAGCAAAAAATCTAATTTTTTGCATTTCAATGAGCGAATAGAGTCGAAATATTGTCTGGTCCAATCTCTCAAATTTTTTACAGAAGTCCCGTATTCTTTGACAACAATCAGGTCAAGTATTTTCAAGAGAAAATTCAAGACGACAGCGATGTAGATCAAATGTTTGATAGTCATGAACACTATGGGTTCGACTATATCGAGGTTTATCTATTACTCTGCCAGACTCAACATCAAGTTGGTGAAACAACGTAAGTAGATGAAGTTGATGTCGTGGACGAGGAGGAAGAAGAAACTGAGGCCATGGTTGATCAAATGGTTAATTTGTTCGGTACTGGGGACTACACTGCACTAACTCCGCTTCAAGACATAGATGAGGAGACACTGCCATTAAGGCATATGTATTGTCCTCCCCAACACATGACGAACTTGCAATTGAGTGGAGACGATACTTCCTCAGATGTTTTCTACAATCCTTCTCAACAAATTGAAGGTGTTTTGAAAGTGGGAAACCAGTACCGAACAAAAGAAGAGTGCATGAAAGCTGTAAGAAAGTTTCATATGGATAACTTCGTTGATTTTTACATCAATCGGAACGACTCGAAACGCTATGGTGTAGTTTGTCGTAACGCAGATTGCAAGTTTCGGTTAGCAGCATCCTATCGGAAAAGAAGTGATTGTTGGGTTATAGGTTCGATGGATCCACCTCATAGTTGCACAACCAACATCAATCGGAAAGATCATGGAAAACTAAGCTCTCAATTGATATCCCAAGAGATCTTGCATATTGTTGCACGGTTCAACTATACCCCATTGAAGGTGAGCACAATTATCTCTCATATTGTTGCACGGTTCAACTATACCCCATCATACAGGAAAACTTGGATTGGAAGAATAAAAGTTGTTGAACATGTATATGGAAATTGGGAAAGATCTTACAATCAACTTCCACATTATTTACTAGCACTTCAAAAATATGTTCCCGGTACGATTGTAATTTTGGAGTCACTACCAGCATACACTCCTGAAGGAACATGTGTTGATGGTAGTAGGATATTTTCTCGTCTCTTTTGGGCATTTCAACCATGTATAAAAGGTTTTGCATTCTGGAAACCAGTTATTCAAGTCGATGAAACATGGTTGTATGGAAAATACAAAGGAACATTGTTGATGGCGGTTGCACAAGACGGAAATAATAATATATTTCTGATTGCCTTTGCCCTGGTCGAGGGTGAAACAGGTGAAGCTTGGAGTTTCTTCCTCAGAAATCTCAGAACACATGTCGCTCCTCAACCCAACTTATGTCTGATTTCTGACAGACATGCCTCTATTGTGAGTGCCTACAACAATCCTACTAATGGTTGGCACAATCCTCCTTCTGTCCATGTCTACTGCATAAGACACATTGCTCAGAATTTTATGCGGGAAATGAAAGACAGAAATCTCTGCAAAAAAGTTGTGAACGCTGGGTATGCCTTAAACTAACCATCATTCATGTATTACCGCGAAGAAATAAGATTGTCAAGCGCGGAAGCATTAAGGTGGATGGATAACATTCCAGTCGAGAAATGGACAAGGGCTTTTGATGGAGGAGCCCGATGGGGTCACATGACCACAAATTTAGTAGAATCCCTAAACGGCATATTTAAGGGAACTAGAAACTTACTCATCACTGCGTTGGTAAGAGCAACCTATTACAGATTGGGGTCACTTTTTGCGGCAAGAGGCAAAAAATGGAGCGCTGTTTTGGAATCAGGGCAAATATTCAGCGAATCCAGTATGAAATATATGAAGGATGAAACTTCTAAGGCGGTCTCACATCGAGTTAGACCATTTGATCGTCACGATTACAACTTCATTGTTGATGAGACAATGGATCACAACGAGGGTCGGCCAATGGGACACTACAGGGTGGAACTTCATAAAAACTGGTGCGACTGCGGAAAGTTTCAAACCTTCCGCCTGCCTTGTTCACATGTCATTGCCACATGTTCCAATGCTCGTCACGATCCATTCTTGCAACTATCAGAAGTTTACAAGGTCGTGAACTTATTTGGTATCTACAGTAACAGTTTTCCAGTGGTAGCTAGTGAGGAATATTGGCTAGCCTATCATGGAGACACAATCTACCACAACGAAAATATGAGACGAAACAAAAAGGGCCGCCCCAAGAGCACGCGAATTACAACTGAAATGGATACAACTGAGAAAATAGAAAGACTATGCGGAATATGTCGTCTTCCCGGGCATACGAGGACTAATTGTCCAAATGTTGGAACCAGTTCTCGATAGATTTAATTTCGTCATTAAAAAAATGTGTAATCTTGGAATTTAATATTTATAACAACTTCTGATTACACATAAACAAAATGAAATACTGCTAGAGCAACATAAAAAATTAACGATTTTTACAACATAAACTAAGCTATTACAACAATCAAAGTAATATCATCAGTTCCAAACATCATTGACCTAACTGCGTTGTCATCTCTAATTCGCACCCACTCCCGTCGTATATTTCCGTCTTCAACAGAGAAGTACGAGACAAGTCTTTCAATACTCCTAATGCTTTCACCATTTAGAATGTCTCCTTCTAACCACCTTCTAACCACCGATTCAAATTTCTTCGTAGTTGCTCTAAAGTCTGGATGTTCCAAAACAACATCCTTATCGGAGGTTTCGTTCTTGAAAAAATTAAAAATTACATGCCCATATCTTCTAAGATACATGACTCACTCTCCTAAATTTGGATGAAACAATGTGTTCCTAAATTTGGATGAAACAATGTGTTGTTTGAATGAAACAAGTCTAACTATTTATACACAAAAAGTTTGTACAAAATAGTATTATATTATAATTATATTATTTATATAAGAATTAAAAAATATAACGAATCAAAGGAAGCTCCAAAGGAGATGGCGCCCCCCTTTAACTCTTTAAGGGAGGAGCCAAAGGGGATGGCACTCCCTTTATAAATTATAGGGATGGCGCCCCCCTATAATTTATAAGGGAGGAGCCAAGGCCTATGGCGCCCTCTTGTAATTAAAAAAAAAAAAAACCCCAAAATTGGTTAGATTGGTAAATATGATGAAAAGATGGGTATAATGGAAATTAGGGGGGTAAAACATGATTATTTGGATGAAAATTTCTCCTATGATACAACTCGGGTGTCACTTTCTTATTCTATATTTTATTTACTCGTTTTTTATTCATGCGGTAAACATTTAGCCCCAAATACAATAGACAATGAGAATGTTTAAATATACTTTTGACCATGATTTATAATATTTTTTTTTAAGTTCTAAATTATTACTTGTACCAATTTTTAACTTCAATTTTTCAAAACTAAAATATTACCGGTACCAATTTTCAAAAAAAAAATTACAAAGCTTACAAATAAAATATGGTATATTTGCAAAAACTAAAAAAGTCTTTAAAACCTAATGAGAACCAAACACACATCCAAGTCAAACAGAAAAACAACATAAAATCACAAAAATGAAAATGGAAAAAGAAAACAGTTGAAAATCAAATATTTGTTGAATCAAGCGATGCTAATGACAAAAAAATGATTAGTTCTATATACCTTGGAGAAAAATAATGAGAATCCGATCAAAATGTAAAGAACATAGTATTAATGCATCTTTGGATTTTTCTTCAGAATCCCAAAACTATGGTTTGAGGTTTTCCCAAGGAAAAACCAAACAAGCTAATAATAGTAATCAGCAGAAGAAAATCATCATAAGGACCAATTAGACCGGAGCATTAAAGCACCTATTGTGGAATTTCCATCGGTTGCGAATGCAAGACCCGGCTTCAAGCAAAACTTATCACCCATGTTGAATTTCAGATAGGATTCAGCCTGAAAATGATCGGCACCTATTCCGCCAAGACTCATTCCCCAGCCAAATGAATCTTCAGAAACATCTGATAGTGTTACCCCCCATTGTGCAGATTTGGGATTTAGTGCGTTCATCTCAACCCAACCTCCGAGTTTTGTAAAGCCATCAAGTTCAGATTCCAGCATTATAGCAGTAGAGCCACCTGAGAGCTCTGCCCTTGTTCCTATGTATGGCGATGCTTCAGGTTCTGTCTCGGATGCTTCTTGTTGGTTGGACAAGACTAATGGGATTGTAAAAGCTCCAAATTTTCTAAGCTGCTTTGATACAAAAGGAAGTTGGTGATTACCAAGAACAGATAGCTTTGTTCCTCTAGGAAATTGACACGCAAGTTGTACGAATGTGCTGTAACTATTTTCCATTGTATTAGAATCAAAAGGTATTCCCAGTCCAGATACAAATTGAGCTAATGAAGCGATAAAACATGACTTTCTCGCAGCTATGCCAATGGCACTACCATTGCGTAGATTCAGAAGAGGCGGTCCAAAAGAAGAGAAATCTGTGAGACCTTTTCCTGACTAAAATGAGCACAGCATCAAATCAGTATTTCAAAGGCCTAATTTGCAAATAATAATTACTATTTCTTAACTACTAGCTTTGATTTCAGGGAAGGGTTTATGCGAAATTAAATATTACCTGATCAAAAGAATTTGAACCAACTGCAACATCTCTGCATTGGGCTCCCACTGGTACAGCCGTAAGAGAAAACCAATCATTGACATTTGTTGTATAGCTTAGTTTCGCTAGAGAAAGTGGCATTTCAAAGGCATTGCCATGATGTTCTTTTCCTTTCCGAATGGCCACAAACTCTGCAGCAAGAGCATTGTCTTTACCAATGGTGGTTTCAAAAACAAACCTTGAATCAATGCCAGTTTTTATTCCGGCCCTGTTTATGATATCTAAGTTCTGCTGATTAAAGTCACCAATGACTAATAAAGCTCCGGTGAAATCCATCTGTCCTCTTACATGGGTACTGGATTCCTTAAAAGGACCTCCTTTTGATGATTTATAAAACGAAAGCATCCTCTCAACCTTTTCTTGTCTGTCTCTGAGTTTCATAAGATCTGAGAAAGCTTCTCTTTGTAAACGTTTGAGGATTTCAAACTGAAATGTTGATTGCAAACATGGATGTCAAAACCACATCACAACGAAACACAAAAGAACCGTGTATCCTTTGATACGCCGCGCACACACACATACATACATGGTAATGGATAATGTTCATTGGCATGAAAAAACAGTTAGTATTAATTGCCCACATTTAATTGCAAATGAGTTTTCACTTTTCCCTTCTATTTCACATTTTTCCCTCTTTCACACACACAACTCTTTGAAAACAAAATCTGTGTCATTTTTCTCTCAAAATCAACAACAGCAGCAACCAAGCCTTATCCCACTAATCGAAATCAGCTACATGGATAAACTTCCGACATAATAAGAACTAATATTGAAATTTTTACTACTCTCAAAATCAACATTGCCTCAAAATAAGAACTAATACTTTCTCTCAAAATCAACATTGTCCCAAAATAAGACTCTAATAATGAATCATGATATAGTCTCTACTCTCTACCAATAACAAAAACAATAATTATTCTATCTAATTCGAATTCACATAAATCATTTTAACTTCCAAAATCAATTATTATAATAATCAAAACCTAGAAAATAAACATAATAAAGGAGAGTGAAAAGAGAGTGGTGAGAAACAATACCGGATTACGGCGACGGAACGCGCCGTCGAAAAAGTCATGACCGGATTTAGCAAAAGCTTTGAACTGATCGATTACAGGCTCCATTACTCCAAAACCGTTTTACAGCGGCAACGGTGTTACGTTGAGGCTATCATGCGCACGGTACAAAACCTCTCAGTTTGTTATACCGAAACAAAAAACTAACATTTTTCACTTCGATAACGACGATGGAGAGAATTTCAAACGCAGTTTGAATGATTAGTGTATGGCTTTGTTGTAATTCGATTATGGGGGAATGAATTAATGAAGATTTTGAGCTTTTTTTCAATCGTGATTTTTTCAGCGGTCGGTTCTTTTTGACGGTTAACAACCCAGAAAGTTTGTTTCGGTTTTGGGCACTTTTAATTAAGCCCATGTTAATACCCTCTCATATGTGAATTCTATCTGCCAACCCCACAATTAAACCTCATACCCCTCAATTTATTTTTCAAAATTCTAAATTTGCAGTTTAGAGGTGGGTTTTTCAAATTTCATGGACGATATCGAAAATTTTAAAACAAACAATCGGAAATTTCAAAAACAAAAACTTTACCGAAAATTTTATTATTTACGGTATTTTTTACTTGAAATTTCATAATTTCCAGTAAACGAAAATTTCATTATTTATAGTATTTTTTACTTGAAATTTCATAATTTCTGGTAATTTTTATTGAAAATTTTAAACTTTTTGGTACACACCACAGTATTTTTATCGGAAATTTCAAAATTTTCAGTAGTTTACATTAACTAGGTTTTTGTCGGAAATTTTGAAATTTCAGATATTTTTAAAAATCTTGTTTTGTACCAGAAATTTCAAAATTTCCGGTAGTTTATGCCATTATTTTTTTCTAATATTTTTTTTCTTCTTTTGCAGTGAAATCTAGAGACAGACAATATTATCGTAGAGAGAGCTGCGGATTGAGCATTACATCAGGGTAGGGTTAGCAGGGGTGTTGATGTTGAGTCTTCTCAGCTACGAGTAGGACGAGTGGTTCCCGTCGGTTCACACCAGAAGCAGATGGCAGAGCGGGATCAGTTATGGGCACCTCGTGCCACTCGACGCCATGGAGATCGATCAATAGTGCAGGATACAAATGAGGTGCTAGCAGACGTTCCTGTAGTTGATCTTGTCGGTGAGCCGATGGTTGAGTCGGTGTTGAGTCAATGGTTGCTCAGTGTTGCACCCCAAAATTTGACCAACCGGGTCTCGTATTTGGTCCTATGTTTCGACGCATAATCGCATTCGCATCTGCATATTGCATACAGGGCATTGTTTCATTTGTTTTGATTTTATCAGGGATCACAGCTCTCGTCTCGTGTTTCAGGTGTTTTTGATCAGTAGAATCGATTTTTGGGATATTTCGGTGCCCGTTTATTTTTACCGATTATTTTTGTGTCGTTCGGTGCTCATTTTGTCCCTCTGGGAATTATCGTGATTTTTCTGGATTTTATAGGATTTTTTAGGGTTCAAATAGATTTTTAAATCATTTTTAGGGTTAATAGGATTTTTTTTTTAATAGATTTTAAATCATTTGTAGAATTTTTTAATAGATTTTAATATTTTTAGATAATATAGTAATATAGTTTTTTAGAAATTTAAATAGAATTTAATAGCATTTTTCATTTTAGGATGATATAGGATTTTCTAGAATATTAGTATAATTTTTAAATGGTTTTAAATAGCTTTAATAGTTTTTAGAATTTAATTGTTTTTTTTAGAATTTCTTTTATAGGAATAATAAATGAATAGAGTCTTCTTTTATAAAAATAAATAGGTTTTATTTTCTTTTATAGATATTATAGAAAATTAATAGATTTTAGAATATTATTAATTAGGAGTTAATTAGATTTATTAGGTTTAATTGAGTATTAGCTAGTTAATTAGGTTAGTTGTTAGTTACTGTTAATTGGTTTAATGATTTTAATTCAATTCAGATTTTTTTGTGGGTTTTTTTAAGTTTTTCGTGTAGGCCCAATTAGAAGGCCCAGTTTGGTTTTTTGTTCAGCAAGTGGGTTTTTTGTCCAGGAATGAGTCCAAGTCAGTCCAAAAACGTCCATTACATCCATCAGCTTCCACCAGGTTCCAGCTCCTTCCAGCGAACTCCAGAAGGTTCCAGCGAGTCTCATCAGTATAAAGCCAGTTGCACGCCACGTGTAGAAGGGAGACGGCCCCACATTGCTGCACACACACGCGCCACGCGTCGCCCTCAACCCTCTCTCTCTGCCACATGCTCCCACACGTGGAGGGCATGCAGCCTCCCCCTCCACTTCCTCTACCACGCGTCCAGTCCTCGTCCTTCGCCTGAAGCGCCCTACCGGCCGGCCTGCATGGCCGGCGGCCACCATACCGTCGCCGGAAAACCCTCCATCCCCAGAATCCGGTCGCCTTCAACATCTCCCTCCTATCTTCATCTTCTTGCTATCACCAACCGCCGCACCTGAATCACTCCGGCCACCACCAATCCCAGAAACCGCCACCTGCATCATCCAACCATCTTCACATAATCTTCATCCACCTCCACCACGTTTTCCAGATCGTTTCCAGAATCATCACCATCTTCATCTTTTTCCAGGAGTTCGTTCAAGATTCAACAAAACACAAGAAACTTCATCAATCCAAGAACGCGTCACCAGAAGGATCCTCATAAGCGATCATCCATCTTTTCCAGAAATTCCCCCAACAAGAACATGCAAGGTCCTCGTATTCTTCCAATCTCCAGGACGAAGTTCAACAAATAACCTTCAAGAACACTCATCAAACGGAGAACGCTCCATGAACTCCCAGATCATCAATCTTCGTCAGAGATCCATTGGAGTTCGTCAAGATCTTCACTCAGCGAGATTCCTCACGCGATCATCAACACCTTCTAGATCTTCATCTGTGGCGTATTTTCCAGAAAGTTTCCCAGAAACATCTTCACCATCAAGACGCATCGTTCTCCGTTCGAAGCTTCGTCGTGTATCAAGAACACCTTGAAGGGCGTCTCAGATTCCCAGTTCCATGAGGTCAAGGATGAATTGCGAGGGGTTTTGTTGTTTATTCTTTTGTTTTGCAAGTGGTGAAGCTAAGGTTGAGTGTGAAGAGGAACGAGAACGGAAGGATGGAGGACGGGGGAGATGAGAAGATGGAGGTCTACAACGGCGGCGCTGGGAGGAAAATTCCTCTAGGGTTTCAGGATAGAGTTGAGAAGGTGGGGAGGAAGAGAATGGGCCTCAGGGCCCAACTACTTTTTTTTGGCAACTCCCTCACGTTTTTGGAACAAGTTCTGGGCCTAAAGCCCAATGTTTCCCAGACACACCCATTCAATCTTCACACCCCCTGCTGCGTTTTTTTTGAGAGACTTGGGCTGGGCCCAGTTTATTTGTTGTTTTATTTTCCTGTTATTCCCCTGTATTGGATACACCCCCCAGCCCCTTTATTTTCTTTCTTCTTTTTATTTTTTACTTGTTACACAAAAAAGAAAAAAGAAGTGAAAAAGAAATATGTTTAAAAAAAAAGAAGTGAAAAAGAAATATGTTAAAAAAAAAAAGAAAAATATCAAAAGAAAAAGAAAAATAGAAAAGAAGTGAAAAAAAAATAATAATAAAAAAGGGAAATAGTAAAAGAAAAGTGAGAAAAAAAAAGAATATAGAAAAAAATGAAGAAAAAATAAGAAAAGAAAAGAAAAATATTTGGAGAAATATGAAAAAAATATGTTAAAGAGAAAAGGAGAAAAAAGAGAAAAAATATTAAAAGTAGGATTAATATTTTTTAGAGCATTTTCTTTTAGGGATATTTTCATAGACTTTATTTTTTCGACTTTTAGGATAGAATTAGGGGCCCATTTGTTAGGGGGCTATTTTCATTCGACTTTTCAGGATAGAATAGGATAGCGTTTCCTAGGAGATTTATTTCAATATGCACCCATTGTAATCATTTTTCAGAGATTAATAAAACGAGATTTGAGCTGTGGTCCGATAGTAGCCGAACTACAGCTGCTCTGATTCTTCGTACCAGACGAAGATATGTAGGCATAGGATGCGATATCCTAGCGAGCACACTGACAACTAACTTTTGTTCTCTCGCGGCTGTGCGATCGAGACTTTCCCGCTGACGACTAATTGATACCCTTTTTCTCTCTTGCCCGAGTGCATTTGAGACCAAGCCATAGTTTTGACCATAGGTTCCCGACCCTGTGAAACCAGTTGTTTTTCTCACTGCTGTGTGAGAATGTTTGTTTAGCCGTAGTTAGTCTGAACTACGTAAAGCTCTGATCTTCCATCCAGTGGAAGTACGTAGGCACAAGACGCGAGGTCTTGGCGAGCCAATTTTCCCCGTAGTCCCGAACTACGTTGACTCTGACTTTCTCTCTTGAGAATACGTAGGCATAGAGTGCGACGCTCTATCGAGTCAATTCCCTTCCGTTTAGATTTAGCAGCCGTAGATAAGATTGTTTTGCATCCAGTAGACAACCAAGCAAGCGTGGATCCCGTCGAGTACGACGGACGTGAGGGGTGCTAATACCTTCCCCTTGCGTAACCGACTCCCGAACCCAGGCTATGGTTGCGATGACCATACCTTTTCCCCGTTTTTTGCGAGGTTTACTTCGAGCGTTTCCTTTCCCGCTCTGAGGGATAAATAACACACGGTGGCGACTCTTCTGTCAGCCGGCGCCGATTTTCGCAGTAGCGACAGCTGGCGACTCTGCTGGGGATCCAACGTCCCCTGGCTGCTAAGGACTGCGATAGTTCTTATGCATGTGGGATCCAACGTCCCTTAAGAGAGAGTCAATCCTAGCGCTTGTTTGGGGCTTATTTATCGATATTATCTGTTGCTGTTGGGCTGTTACGGGTATTCTATGATTGAGATAAGCCGGACCTGGGCTCGAGTATGAGTATGCACCAAGATATAGTTGCGGAGAAGTAGTAGACGAACCTGTCTGCTGAGCAGGCGCAGTTCCCTACGAAAATTCGCACTCGGACGAGGTTCTCGCAGAGGTGCTCCTTTCCGGTCCTGAGGATCTGAGGGGAGTCCAGACGTGAGGATTGTCGACTCTGGGAACCGATCAATTGGAAGTTAGCTAAGT